CTCAGACTCCATTGGTCTCTTTCCAGGATTGTCGGCCATTTCAAAATCGGCGGCGACACGAAAAAGGCAAGAAAAAGGGGAAAAGCTTAAAGAAAGGGGAAATCCAAACGAAATTCGGAGAAAATTACCTCTATCTGACTCACTTCGCCGATTTGGTAGTGCGGAGCAACGAATTTCACTGAAATGCTTCGGAAAGTGCGGAAATTGGTGAAAAGTGAAAAGGGAATTTGCGCGAGTTCGCTGGGAAGTGAAAGCAAATTGCGAAGTGTGTTTGATTTGAGAATGCCGGAAATAATGATACAAATACAAGTTAAATACCTGGCAAAAATCCCACTAACTTGATTTCAATTTACAAACTCTTCAAATTCTTCCCAAACCAATTACAAACCGCCAAAATTAAATTATCCACTAAGTTCACTCCACTTCCCCACTATCATTAGTTAACCGTCATTAAGGTTAATTAATCACCATTAACGGTTATTAAAACCGTATAAATTCTCAAAAAAATTTAAATTATTTTCATTTATTTCCCTCCAAATCCTTCAGCTGCTGAAACCCGATCTGTTATCCTCACGAATCGGGTCTGAGGGGCAAGTTGTTTGGAGTCCAAATAACTTGTATTTGGGCCCAGTCCACAATGAAAATAATTAAAGCCCAAAGGGCCAGGTTCAACCCTCATTTCAAATAATCCAAGTCAGGTACAACAAGGCCCAATTAAATGGCAGCCCATTTAATTCCTCAAGCCCAATCCATCCAATTGGAGTAAGGTATAAAAGCTCCCATTTTTGCATATTTACATTCATTCCCATTAAATGCCTCAAGCAACAAACTCTCTTGCATAGCTTTTCTCTCATTATCTTACATCCATACTGACTTAGGCATTGGAGGGGTCTTCCTCGGCACAACCCCCGAGGCCAGTTTACGTGTGTTTAGCTGTGCAGGAAATTTTCAATTCGGTCATCACTCGAATTGGGCTTCATCTCCACTCATCCGAAGGACCAGCTAAAGGTCTATTGTTTTCTAACCGAAACAGATGATAAGGTAAAAACCACCCACACAATTATCATTGATATTGGAAAAACAAGGAAATTGTATATGTAACCTTTACGGATTGATGGCTATGTACATATAAGCGTTACTAATTCCAATATTATTGTTGATTATTCTTTCATAAAATTTCAACATAATACCCCTTATAAAATTGAGAAGGTATTGAAAAGTCAAACGCAAAAACATTAAGCATTACTAATTCCAAAACGTTTAATTTTATTTTTTTAAATAAAATTTCAAAACAATTCCCTTTGTAAAATTGAGAAGGAATTGTGTGAGTTTAAACTCACAATGAATCAAATTTATATAGTTATTGGAAACTATAGTATATTTCATATACTCCCTCCGTTTTTGCTCCACTTTTCATTTTCGGCCGTTTTAAAATACTTGATCCATCTTCTTATCTGGAAACCTTTTACAATATTTAATTCATTTATCTCACCTAGTGAACCCAAAATAAATCATACTCCGTATTTTATTAATTTCATATTCTCTCTCCTTCAGTTTCTCCACTACTTTTGCTTTTTACAATTTATTATTCTTCCACCAATCTCACTACCTCCATATTTTATTACTTTCTCTAATAATTTCTCCTAAAACTCCACGTATGGAGAAATGGAACAAGTATTTAAAATCGAAGGGAGTATTAGTTTTGGATGGTGAATTTACGACATCAATATTAACCGTATTATGAATTCATCCAATACTTTATGTACAAAGTATAATAATATACTCGTAAGGCCACGTACATATTACAAATTTGCAACTAACAAAAAAAATATAATTAAAGAAATACCTAAATATCTTAAAGAGGATAAATATATTCCATTGAGAAAAGTAATTAAGTTAGAAAATGTAGTTTGACAACTACAACGTCGGTAGTGTATATTCAATAATATTCAAAGAATCAATGTTTCACCAAAAAATTCATACTCATAATTTATTTAAAATTTTATAAAACATTCAAAAATAGAAAAAGCGGTGGTGCATGCAGTGATCATACGTAAAGAAGCGAGTAAAGGGCCCATTACTACAGCGACATACTAAGTACTAGTACTCCTTTTTCTTAGGAAACCATTGTTTAATTGGATTGTTTAAACAAAGATTCCAAAAGTTTAAAAGAATACTAAGTATTTGAAGTATCAATAGTATTAATATAGTCGTAGTTGTGAGTAACGTATAATGTTTTGCAGCTTGCAACAGCCGTGCATCCCAACAAAGTTGCATCACATATTCACATGGATTTATTTGGCCTTCTCTTCTCATTGTCCTTGGATGCTCCTAGCCCGTGTTTGTACATTTTGTCCCTTTTTTTGTCCATTACAAACACGGTCGCTTATTTTATATTACCTCCATTTTATATTTTTTACAATTTTGGGGTATTATTTGTTAGATATAAAATATTTTAAAGTTGTAAAAAAATATGAAGCGGAGGTAATAGTCATTACATTATAGATGTTCTCTTCACTTGACTTTTAATGCGTCATTTATTTTATTCAATATTTTGACATTTATTTTATTTATTTTTAAATAATTGACATTTTCTTTATTCGTATATGCTTTTTTTTTGAGTAGTTTTGATGACTTTTATACATTAAGAAATACTTGTAATATATACTCTCTTTGTGTTTTAATAAGTGTTACACTTTGATCGGCATATAGTTTTAAACAATTTAATTGATTTAAATAAAATAAGAGGTAAATGGGGTAGTTAGAGTATTAAAAAATTGTAAAAGAAAGATAGTGAGGTTGATAATTTATCGAAAATTAATGAATGTGAGAGAAAAGAAATAATAAAAAAGTAGTGGTCGGTTTAGGTGGAGACCATAAAAGGAGAATATATAATATTAAAATATAGCTTTTTGCCTTTGCCAAAAAAAAGTAAGTGTAACACTTATTAAAACACGGAGGGAGTAACATGATTGAAAACTGCTCTTTTTCGAAACTGAAAATTTAGAGCTGATCAATGGGCGAGGCGGGCCGGGCTGATGTCAAAAAATCAGCCCATCCCTCGGATCGGGCTGGGCCAAGCTTCTGGCCAAAATATGTGCCCAAACCCGCCCAAACTAATCAGGCTATGCGGGCTTGGCAAAAAAAATTAACTAAATTGCATAAAAGTGATTTTCCAAGCCTGTCCAAAAATTTTAAAAAATCGGGCCAGTAAACTACCCAGAGCCCAAAAAATCGAGCCGGGCCAGTAGTTCGGGCTCAACTTGATCAAATCTATGAAAATTGTACTTAAAAGTAAATTTTGTTCTTAAACTGATTTGACCTTAGAAATCTTGAAACCTATCTAAAGTTAATCTGAGGATGGATTGACTAATCAACAATCTGAATCCGAGTAGAAACCAATCCATAGTATACTCGTAATTGTTAGACATAGTAATTGTAAAAATGAACTTAATTGATACCCAACCCAAAAGTTACCCAACCCTTTAATTACTTGGTCTGTTTTTACTTGACCTAATACTGAATGACCAGACCTAAAGTTGTTTGTGATTTAATTAAACCTGACTTGTTAAACCACACCCAAGTATGAGGTTTAGAAACTCAAAGGGGGGTTGGGTAAAGATCATACCTCACGTTTTTGATATATTTTTATGAAATCCCCACTATTAAACCAACACACTTCTATAATGTGTAGGGAATTAAGGTGGATGGAAATAGTAAAGGAACGATTTCCCTAAATATTGCTTAAATGTACATTAATTCCCTATTTGCGTTTGTATAAAAAATTATTCCTACCATGTTGTCCACATAGGATAGGTAGAAGGTTCGTTAATTTTAATTTTAATTTTTTAAGTTATTTTGGTTTAGCAAAGAACTGCTAACGGTGATAGCGGTTTCAGGCATTAAAACCGCACATCATTAGCGGTTCTTTTAATTAAATTATATAATTATGAAGGGTCTTATTGAATTCGTTTCAACGTGTATTTTAAAAATGTCATATTTATTAGTTTTACAAAAACAAATTTAAAATTATTTACACTTTAAGACATTTCTTGAATACCGTGACAAGTCAGATGGAGCAAACAAATAGTGATAGAGGGAGTAACATGGTAACATATACTCGTATATAGTCATCTAGAATATTGACTTCACTAGTATGGATTTTTTTAGGATACACCTAGACATGAACCTTGGTTAATTTTTTTAACTGAAACTTAAATTTGTTATTCGTTAGCTATTACTTCATATTTTGTTCGACATAAGCTCAATAAGTTCATACGATGGGTATACACAACTTGACAACAATACAAACACTTTAAGGAATTGTTGAATGTTGAGTAGCTTGTACACTTAACCGATTAATAGATTGATTGATGTCAACTAGGATTGATATGATTATGCTCAATTTGATGTATGTTATGAGTTACTAGGTTAAAACTTTTCATGGCTATTTGCTAAATGGTCTCTATTTTTATTGGACAAATCTTCCATAAATATTGAGATTTTTTTTTTCTTTCCATTCACTTATACAGTTATACCCATTGGAAACATAATTGACAAAAGCAAACGCAAGTAATACAAGTATTTTTCACAAGTGGTGAATTCTTTTTACCAATAAAGGTATTACCCTGAATGGTTATGCTTGTATTTGGATTTTCCCAAGATGTAATTGAGGGACAAAAGAGGATAGGGGAGAATCAAGCAGATAAAATGAATAAATAAAAATTGAAGGGAAAAAAAGGCAAAATTATTTTTATTACAAAGTGAAGCTAACTATCATATTTTAAATACTTTTTTCAAATCCATACAAAAATGTCTATTGTCTTTGTTAAAATTTACAATGTTACAACTTCATTTATTTATTTTTTGTAATTAATTCAAAATTGAACAAAATTAATTTGTAAAAATAATGTAAGAAGATTATACTTTGTATATGAAATTGAAGATTATTCTTCATGTAAAAAATAAATTAAAAAATAATAAAAAAAAAAAAAAAACAAATTGAAGAAAAAGATATACTTTGTAATAGACTATACTTAAACAGGGGCTTCTACATGCCTGATGTTGAATATTGGCAGTTTTTAATTCATTGTATCTGGAATAGCACAAAGAAAGGTGAACTAAAGCGTAAGAGCTGGAAAACAAGAACAAAGCTCTCAACTTCATGCTGAATCAGCTAGCGTTCAGTAATCAAATCCAAACTCCTACCGTCTTACATGGGAAAAAATCTACTTGGGCACAAAGATGATAAATCATCACACTTCTACTCAGAGAATTTGGACTCGTTCTGAACAAAAAATTAATGACAATGCAAAAAAAAAAACCCCTGATTCATATCGAAGTCCAGTCTTCTAGAATGCCCCTCTTTCTGCATTGAGCTCTCATATGTTATACCAATTCATTACCATTCCTGAAACAGGTTTTTAAATTCTTTATCACAAGTCCAGTGAAATCGATATTTTCCATGCAGCCTACAGAAACACGCACTCTGCTGATCAGTGAATGACAGGCTTCAGAGGATGGCCCCTCACTTGCGATAGCTCAATATGAGCATCTAAGTCTTCATCCAGCTCACCTATAATGCTTCTGCCAATACAAATGGTAACATTAGACTATTATAATACCAAAGCAATGTCATAGGGACAAGACAGAGAAGCAAACTGCTAATGATTAAACAACTTTAAGCAAAGATACCATACATGTTGTCACCCCTGATGATGTACAAACCCAATACAATTTGTTGGACTCCTTCCTGCAACCCAGCAAACGGCACATGATTATTTGAGAACACACTTTAAAACTGTGCATGGATGACAGATTAATGTTAAAAAAAGCAACTATATTATAAAAGATTAGAAGATATTATTATCCAATGACAGAACATCAGTAAAACCGAGGAGCAGAGGGGGGAGGAGTTCAATTCAAGCATCGTGTATGGATCCAAACCACAAGACTAATTTTAGTCAACAGAGAAAAATGATCTATAACAGACTCAATATTCTAAACAAAGCAACAACTATACTCTTCTTTCTGAGAGTTGCAGACACAGTGAACAGAGTGCATAAAAAGTTTATGAAGCTTGAAACAACAGAGTTGTGCAAATCAAGCAATAATTTTGTATAAGGCTACAGAGAATGATAACATAACCCTCCAACTACTATTCTGCACTCCACATGAACATATTAAGAGCTGGACACAATCAACATGCCAAAATATCATATTTTACGATTTACATATCTGGAGACAACACTATACAAAGAAATTCTATACTTCAAAGTATACATAAGCATGGTAAAAGTAGATACTGAATGCTTCATAACTCATTAAGCTCAATAACAAACGCCTATCTTTCTATACATGTTCCTCAATCCTCATTGCTTCATGAGGATCCAGTGATAAAGTAGACTTAGTATTACTAAAAATATAACTAATATACTATGTTTTCAACCTTCATCTCAAACCAGTTAAAGAACACATCTGAAACTGATTCATAATAAACATTAAAACAACAAAGCCTTAGTCTCAAAATGATTTGGAGTTGGCTAACATGAATCATCAAAAGAACATAACAAACATTACAGAGTTTAAATTAAAGAGAGGGAAAGAGCCTGGAGAGATTTAATTCAAACCTTGGTAGAAAAAACCCTCTCATGTGATTCATCAAGAATAATATTTGTTGCCTGGTCAAAACCTTTTAAGATTCCCTGTAATGAGAAAAAGATGGTTAGTATTAAAGGCCAACTCAAAGGAAATATAGCTACTATTGTGCAAACTGACCACTATGTTGCGTCCGTCATTGGTAATAACTGAGATCATTTCTGCAAGGCAGGGAAAAGAAGGGTTGTTAACATACAAAGGCCATAGTAACTTAGCTAGCTTTCAGACAATAATGTTGTGGAAGAAATGACTTGAACAAGTACAAAATGCAAGTTTGACAACTGAAAGTATGATGTAAATTTAGAGCACTTACGGTCTACAAGAGGCTCAAGTCCAGGTCCAGCAGACATTGTGCAAACTCCGACGGACAACAATTAGCTCAGGCAACACAAATTAGATAGGAATGCCAATGATCACCTACAAGAGTAGCATCATAAATACAAGGTACAAAAGACAACAGGGGATAAGTCATGATGATAAACAAGTTCATTTAGCAGATGTCTTCAACTCATATACAGAGTAATTTCTCTATCTTTCTTTTCTTCCTTTCCATTAGTTCCCGATTTTTCAAAAATCATAAAAGACAGTCAAACATTGGCCCAGACATCAAGAAGAGAAGCAGATATCTTCAATGGTTAAACATTTGCACTGAAATCTTAGCTTATTAGGATCATCTCCTAATTGCAAAACTTATCTCTGGAACAAGAACGTAAGCATTGAGACATCCAATGAAGACGATTAAGCATGTCATTAAACAAAACATGTAAATACTATAAAAGCTAATGGACCCTTTTGAAGATAGAACTACCACGCTTGTTAAAGGATAGCTAGCTCAAAACCAGTGAGCCACGGCAGGAGGGAAAAGAGGTCTAAATTCATACTTCAATCCTAACATTAAAGGGTTGTGCAATACATTAGCAACCAAATTTGACTCATAATTTTAGGGATATTTGATTCAATAATCAAATTTGGCTCATAATTTTCTTTTCTGGTAAAGTTATCAAGTTTCATAATCTAAGAATTTAGAACCAAGAGTTCAGATTTTCGAACCCTACACTTAATTAAATTAGATTAAATAAAAGACAAACCCTAGATTGTGAAATTGATATGATGATAACAAAAACCAAACAACTTACCTCAGAAGCTGCTTCAATGGGGGATACAAGTATTAGCTTCAACGGGCTTCAACGGAGAACGTCAACTGCGCTTCAATGGAGAACGTTGAGTGCGCTTCAATGGATAACTGAGACTGAGGTTGGGTTGGACGCCTTGAGCCCTGTTAAATGGGTTAGATCCGTCTAATAAATAAATGGGGCATATATTTATACGATACTCTGATCATGGGACAGGACAGGCCTTATAAGGATTTAATGTATTCATGTTTTAAAAAGCACTAGTATTAGTTTTCCAACAGGTCTTAGCTGCTGCACCCTGCTAGGATAGATCCACCACAACCTATAAAATGAACATGTAGTAAAAAAAATATAAACACGTAAAAAAAATGAATATTTAATAATAAAAAATGAACACTTAAAGAAGAAAAGAAAATTTAGTATTAAAAAGTGAAAAAAAATGATCATATAGTATATTAAAAATGAACATGATGAACGTATAATCATAGAATTGCTAGACCACGGCCTTAAAAATGAACATTAAGTAAAAGAAATATGAACATTTATCATACAATCATAAAATAGCTGAACCATACCTAATAAAATGAACATTTCATACAAAAATATGAACACTTTACAAAAATGAACATTTAGTATATAAAATGATCACGTAAAAATTGAACACGTCAAAAAAAAGTTATGAACATTTATTATATTAAAAATGAACATGATTTTCATATATTCATATAAGTACAAATTCTTAATATATAATTATTAATGAAAAATAAAGATAAAATAAATCGTCAAATGTTCACTTTTAAAGTACTACATGTTAATTTTTTTTAATGAAAATTATACACAAGTTCGATTGTAATTATTTAAACTCTAAAATTTAAATATCCACCTCAAATCTTATCTTGGTTCATCATAGATAAAATAATTATTGATCTACAATATAATAGATTAGGATTCACAAACGCAAAGTTGATAGAATTCAACAATTTTATAACATTCACATATTTATAACAAATAATAAAAAAAAATTAAAAAAATAAATAAAATCAAAATTACCTCACGATTCACGATCGCGACGAAGATGACAACAATGGAGAATGCTACAATGGTGACGAATTGGAGAATGCTCGAAGTAGAACAACAAAGAAAAATAATGATTGAAAGAAAGTGAGGTATTTACATGTTCATTTTTATAGAGATAATAAAGGAGAGAGAAAGTTTTAAAATAAGAAGAAAACTGAGGAGAGAGAAGATTAAAGAGGTAAGAAAAGAGAAGAGAGAGAGTTAAAATATAAGGAAAGAAATAAAACGTATGTTCATTTTGAACTGCTATATGTTCATATGTATACAATTGGTGCAGCTAGCTTAGCTACACAAGGGTGTAGCTAAGAATTTGTGTTAGTTTTCCTTTATCTTTACATTTCGCAAATACTATTTTCACACGCCAAAACTTGTATCAATTGTTTGTATTTTTTTTAATTTTTTTATTTTGAAAAGGAGTAAATTACATTAATTAACTAAGTTTACAACAAACGAAAAGAAAGCAAAGTAACATAAGTTACTATAGGCATAAGAAGACCTTACACAACATCAACTAAGGTCATTAACAACATTTACCTTTAAGCTATTACAACGAGTGAACGTAAATAAGGCTTACCAACTTACATTTAAACATGTGATGGGACCGTTGATAGAATGGGGAATGTTGGTGATAATGCTTGTTGTGGTGCAAGATCCTTTCAAACATACAATTAAAAGTCGATAAATGTTGCAGAGATGACAGAGATTGGCCAAAATCTGTATGCCTTCTTAAGGGACAAAACCATTTCCCAAGGATTTAAATACATAAAATCCTCTTGAGATCTTTGTTGATGTCAATCACATTTTCTACAAAATCACTTGTATTCTCATACAAGGTCATGATGTTGTTAAACATATTCCCTTTATGAGAATTCTTTACTAACATCGAGGTTCTATAACCCCCAAACCAAGTTGGGGCGTTTGCTTCAGATGAAAATATTTTGTTATAATAACCTTTACAGTCATCGCTTACAAATAGGTTTGACGACACTTAATTACTACCATCCTCCTTCAACAAGGGTTTATGTAAACCTAAAATGGAAATTTTGTTCTATCTCCCAACAAACACAAGTAACACCACTTCTATCAAAGGAACACATTTTTATTGAAATTAAAAAGATGATTAAAATTAAAGAGATTAAAAAGGGCAATTTCAAGATTCAAACGACTCCATTTTCATCCTCCAATTAAACCTGAGTTCGACTTGTCTTCGTTTTTTGGTCAATTAAATTGGGTGATTCCAAAATCTGAGTTTTTTTTAATAGAAAAATTCACTTTAATAATCCGAACATTCAGTGATTTACTTTCAATAATCCTAACTTACATTATTTATTCTGAAATAGTACAAACTTTGGGGTGAATTTTCTTCAACTTGGTCGCTCATTGGTGACCTAAAAAAAGGTGATTTATTTATAAATGCCATGTGTCGCAATATAATTGGTCCAAATTTTTATTAAAACCCTTTCCCAGCTAGCCACCAACCCTCTCCCCTTCCCCCGCCATTAAACCCTAACCCCAACCCCACGCCCCACCGAAATTGGACTGACCGCCTCCCCTAACAACCGAAAACAGTCTGTCGGTCTCTCCTAACCCCCCTCCATTCTCCCGTCGCTGAAACCACCCCTCCTCCCTTTCCCCACCGACGAAACGACCGATTTTTTGGCTCTCTCAAATAGAGATTTTTGCCGGGAAATTAAATGTGGTAGTGCTAAAGTTGGTAACCGGTAAAAATAGGTTGCTTGCCACATTTTAAAATTTTATCAGTTTAATTATTAAAAAAATTAAAATAAATAAATAATAATAAAAAAAGAAAAATTTGGTAAAATAATTCAAACTCGTTAAGATGAAAAAATAATTAATTTAAGATGAAAAAACACGTATTTTTAGTTATTGCAAATTTAAAATAAAATCACACTAAAAATACCCTTATCGTTAAGGTTGGTGGCTTATTGCGGCAAGAATGGCCAAGTAGTTTCTCCTTCCTCATATAACCCATCTGTGATTTTTTAATCTGAAAAAAAATAAAAAATGAAAGCTGATAATGAAGACACACAATTGCAGACCCATGATTTCTAATGAGGGGTAACATTTATCAATAAGAAGAAAAAAAATTTGAAATGAGTTATTATATACGGTTTTTTCACCATATACCCCTGAAATTTTTCAAATTCACCATATACCCCTGAGTTGTTACAAAAATTCATCACATACCCCTGATGACAACAAAATAAGTGGAATTTGGTTAATTATGCATCAAAACCACCTTAGATCTCTCCCCCTATCTCCGAAACCACTCATCTCCTTTCTTCAACCCCCGAAACCAATCCACATCTCCATAACTACATCCCTATGATTGATTTTGAGGATGAGAAAAGGAAATTTTGGGTGGTTTTGTGGGTGGGAAAAAAAGAATGTGGGTGGTTTCAGGGGTAGGGAAATGTATTTAGGGTGGTTTCGGGTCATAATTAACCCTAATGACTGACGAAGTTAACATTCATTAATTATCAAGGGTATATGGTGTATTTTTGTGAAAACTCGGGGGTATATGGTGAATTTAAAAAAGTTCAGGAGTATATGGTGAATAAACAATAAACTCGGGGGTATATGGTGAAAAAACTGTATTTATAATATATTTCATATACATTATCGTTTGATAATTAGCTTTTAAATTTTTAACATTATATTTTGGTGGATAAATATTTATTTTACAAATATAGAAAAATTCATATTTTAATTGTCAATATAATACAGTGATCAAATTAAAAAGTACTCCATATGTTCAATAAATTACTTTTGTATGTACTCCGCATCTAGTATTCATAAGGTTAAAAACTATTTGATAATTTATATTGGTATACTATAAGTAAAAAGAAATTATTACTTATATAAAAATAATTAGTAAATGTGCATATTGGTAAGTAATATATATTTTTCTCGTCAAAAAAATATTACTTACCAAATATGTGCATTGAAAAAATGAGAAGTGCAATTAAAATGGAAAGAAATTCATCAAATGAAGGGGTCTTAATATAAAAAGAATAAGCTATTCATTTTATATATTTTTTCTTTATATTGGGTATCAATATCATGTACAATATTTGGAAAATAATTAAAGTTCGAATATAAATTTATATTATTACGTAAAAAGCATAGATTTTACTATTTAAATGAAAGCCTTTAGAAAAAAACATGGATGAATACAAAATTAATTATGCACACATCAACACATAAGTAGAAGAAAAAGTAAAAAATAAAAATAAAAAATAATAAAGTCAAAAGAAAAAAGTAAAAAATAATAATAATAAAAAAAAGAAAATAACCTAAGAGACCTGTTTCTATACATAACTGGTCTTTTTAGGTTTAAAAGGGGAAGCGTGCAGGTTAGGTATAACAATCGTTTGCTATAAATCATCAAAGAGACCTGTTATTTCAAAAAACAGGTCTATGTGATTAACAGTATTTTTCTTTTTTTCAGAGTTAGCAAGTGCTACCCCTTATTACTACGTAGGTCCGCCTTAATGACAACAGTGATGACTTGCGAAAGTCTAGTATTTTTGAAAACAAAAACAATTTACGAATTAGAAACGACACTCGTAATAGAGAATAAAACTAGTGAAGAGTGAGGTAGAGGAGGAAGAAATGAGAGAAACTTTGAGCTTGCATAACATTGAAGATGCTCTAAAATAAACTTTGGGCTCACACCAAAACCACTCCGTTGTCCATGAGACACACCAACCCGGCAACACTCATGGTTGCAGCCTGCCACCAGTCACACCACCCAACTGTTCCTCTTCCTCTCCAAACACATATGGCAACCCATTTTCCTATCTGTTTGCCGCCAATAGGACCACCACAACCACAGCCCGCCCTATATGCTGCCTTAATACTTTCCTTTTTTTTTTTTTTTTTTTTTTGACAGAAAGAAGTGGATATTATTACTCAAAGTAGGAAATACTACCTCCATTTTTATTTAGTTGACACCATTCTATTATCACGCTTGTCAACGTACTATTTTAACGACTAATATATCTAATTTTCGACATTGTAAAATTATAAAAAGTAGATATTAATAAAGTATACATTGAGATGATTCAAACAAGATCTCACTTGACTATGTTTTATCCTAGCTATAAATCACAAAAGCTAGTCAAAACGTAGTTTGTGAATAGTGTCAAAGTCAAACAATGTCAACTGAAAAAACTAAGGAAGTATCAAACATTACAGCAGTGCAGTGTTTGCACAAAGACGGGTTTCCTCTATCCACACTCTCAGACCTTCATACCCCCTACTGCAATTAGCTAAAACATGTGCCACCCCATTCCCCTTTCTACCCACATGAGAGAAAGAAATAAGCGTACGAAGAGAAGCAAGATGTTTAATATCATGGCGCCAAAGCAGGAGGGTTCACTGATATCTTTTGCTAGATGGTTGTATAATTTGATGTTGTCCGTTTCAAGGGTCACTCGCAAGAGACCGGCCTCGATAGCAATGGATAAGGCGTGCCTAGCAGCCATGGCTTCCGCAACATCAACATCGAAGCAGCCATCAATTTTAAGGCATGTGGCAGCCATGACATCTCCTGCATGATCTCTCATCACTCCTCCAAGACAGCCGTAAACTTTACTAAGGTAGAATAAAACATCCAACCCACACAACCGTAAACTTTGACTTCAAAGGTTCACAAAGAGGATCTTTAACAAGAATAGGGCCTTTAAGTAGTTCATTCAATAGAGTGAGTAAATAACCCAGTACCACATGAACAAGAATCACAGACAACAACGTAGCATGAAAAATCAAATGATACGGATAACTTCACAAATTAGAGAAATCTCACAAAATTAGACCGAGGGCAGAAAAAATTTCTTATACTGTTCACCAAGACCACTAACAATACAAGAACTCAGCATTTTTAATCCTGAGGCAGATTTTAAAAACCTAGTGAAATTGTTACTTCTTACTCGGTATTAAATAGTGACATGGAGTACTGCCTACTGCCCTAATTTTTGCCGCTTTGACCTGGTACATTGTGTAGGGTTTAAAAATTCCAGTTTCTTGATGCAACCTAGTTCAAACAGCAGAGTTAAGTTTCAACACGCTACCAATCAGAAACAACCACAAAAGCACAACTATGAATAGATTCATTGGTGCAAATAGCAAGTGTACATGACTTCTAAAGATACGAAGTTCAATTTCAAAACTTGAGGCAACAACTATAAACTCAAAAGATAACATAAAAGTAGAAACTACAGTCAAAAAGGGTTCTGATTTTGTTTGATCACTACTCAAAACAAAGGAGCTAACACAGCTACTCTTTCTCATGTAGATGCAGTAGCCGCAGTTAAGAAAGCTCTGCCAGGTTGACGGTTGGATAGAGGTCCATGGCATCCAAGAAGCTGCAAGGTAAGAAAATAGAGAACATCAGATGAAACCCCAAAAGGCTGCATCAGCATTACTATAATCTTGGAAGGAGATTACAAATATAAAACAAGAAAGCACATCAAATACGCAATATGGTATATTTGTATTTCATGCATAAGATGTACAAGTAATTGTAATTTAAATGTGATCAATGTTCAGCATCAAACACAATGCACCATAATCTTTACGATTGTTCAGGTGTAAACACTATAACAAACATGTAAATCATAGGAATATTAAAACATACCCAGATAATCAACAAGTATTCATGCATGTACGTGAAAAAAAAGGCTACTATAAGAGTTCTCCAAGAAAATGGCACCAGTCATAACAACAGGTCTCTACTAATAGTATAAGCAGATTTGCAATTATATTTCATGAGAAATTATTGCACATAATCACACCTACAGTAGTTTGCAATTCTCCATTTATATGGCATCTAAGCTCATCAATATAAAAATGAAAAAGTTTATTATTGGTATGCTTAGACCCACTATTTTTTAAAAGAAGTCCCCATATTTGGAATCAGGATTCATCATTTTAAGACAACTTTTACTCTGAAAACAGATATAAGCAGGCTCATTACATTGTGAGACACAGGCTAAAATATCTTAACAGAAACAATGCTATAGACACAAACATGTAACTAACAACTAGCCAGCTACACAAAAATATATACTTAAAATTTGCAACTGACAGAGTTGGATCAAGGACAAGAATGGATGCCAGTGACATTGAAAAAATAAACCACAGAATCCATGATTTAAAAAAAAAAAGCAGGCAACCTAGAATATGTTTAATATAAACAAGTTAAAATTTCCCTTGAAACATTAACAAAGAACTTCACAAACCTTGGCATTGACTCCATCATTCATTATTCTGTTCTCAGATTTGTACTTGAGATAATCAGCACGGTTGTGTTTGGTAAAGCCCCTGCATCACAGACAAATTAAAAGAAGATTACTATGAGCAATTCCACCAAGAAACAAGCCTCCCATATACATTTTCAGACTATCACACCTTCAATTCAAGATACAAATAAAAACCAAAATTTGGGGTTGACACAACAAATTTTAGCAGCTAGTTTTCATCCAAAAGACATCATATACAGGAATTATATTCCTCCAAACTATGATAAACCAGTTTCAGCATCAACTTAAACATCTTTATTAACAAAATTACTAGAAAGTGTGCCTTGATCATTTTAAACAAACAAGTTGGATCCTTTCAAAAAGAGTATATAAAATCACAAATTACAAGAAAAATCAGGTTCAGCAATGATATTGCAAGTTTGCAGCCACACAGAAACAGTTTGAAAGCTAACAATGAGACAATAAATTAAATCAAATAATCAATAAAACCAATAAATAACATACCACTTCCTGCTGATAATAATCTTTTGACGACCAGGGAACTTGAACTTGGCACGACGGAGGGCCTCCTGAGCATGGTGACTGTTATTGTCCTTGCATCGAACAGAAAGAAGCACCTGCCCAATTGCAACCCTAGCACAAACACCTTGAGGTTTGCCGAAAGCACCCCTCATACCTGTCTGGAGCCTATCAGCCCCAGCACACGAAAGCATCTTGTTAATACGGAGCACATGGAACGGGTGCACCCTAACCCTTAGATGGAAAGCATCCTTTCCAGCAAACTTAGTCATGTACTTGTTGCAAGCAATTCGAGCAGCTTCCAAAGCCTCACTCGACACATTTTCCTTCTCCCAACTGACAAGATGGACACAGAATGGGAATTCATCCACACCCTTCTTCTTCATACCCACATCATAAATCCTAATCTTAGGATCGGGGACACCACGGCAAAACCGCGATTTTGGGTATGGCTTGTTCTTAATCTGACGATAGCATCTTGCCGGTCCTAAATAAACCAATTCGCCCAAATCACATTTCAATTTTGTATTTAATCATTATTCATCTAACTTATAACATATCACATTTCTATCTCATTAGCAGTAGAACTCAAAGGCAATATCATTATACGAGTATAACATAACTTTATAGCTAATAAACATGATATAAAATTGATAAAGTTTTAATTTTGATTAACTATAACGCATTCTTAATACTCAAAGTATCAAACATGCACATCAAAAATAAGTAATGTAAGACTAAATACAGCTCTAAAACATGGCAAAACTGAACAAAATCTAAAAACCTAAATATTATTCACACAAATTCCAAAAATTAAAAATAAAAGCAGCCAAAAGTAACTATTAATTCCTCTTATCTAATTCAACAATACTGAATAAAATTAGCAGATAAAATCTAAGCAAAAACAAGAGCATAATATCAAGAAATGCGCAAAAATTGCAAATTGAATCGTAAATAACGTACATTTCTATACTAAAATCGGTATAACATTCCAGAATAATCAACAAGCAGATTCAAAATGGAAGAGAAGAACAAAAGGAGAGAGATTAAGATGATTACTTCTTCCCATGGCGGCGATTCTTGAGCAAAATGTGGAGCAACTAAACCCTAAAATCAGAATTGATACTACAAAGAAAGTGAATTTATATAGTACAAGGTGTTTTTGCGGTGCCCTATTTATTGGGCCGTTTGTTACTTGTTATGTTGGTGGGCTTTGTTCTAGTGTGTTGAAAACATTATCGACCAAATACTATGGTTTATGGCCCAAATTTTACGAGTAAAATTGGTACGAGTATTAGGATAGGAAAATTGAGAAAGAGAAGGGAAAAGCATAGGAAAAAAAAAAAAGGAAAAATTGAAACTAATAATCCTACCTTTGGCTAATTTTCACAAAACAATCTCATTTTTGCGTATTCTAGAAACAATCCCACCTTAACACCCCATATTCTCAAAACAAGCTTTTTACCGGTTTGTGAAATTGGCAACCTGTTTTAGAAGGTAATATGACACGTGTCACCTTCTAATTGAGTTTTATCTATAATTTTTTTTTTTAAAATAAAGGAATAAACAAAAAAATTAATAATCCTTCTTCTTCCTTCCCCTGCAGGAGTAAATCCCTCATCGGAGCAACCGCCCGCCGACCAGCCGAACCTAGTAACACCCTAGAAATTCCTTTCCTTTAAAATACATGTTTTGCTCTTTTTAAAATACGAAATAGGAAAATCTAAGACATTACCGCCACCGTAATAACGGCTAAGATAATTTATCAAAGATACACAGCAGAAGACTTGTTTTAAAAACCATTCAAAATAAAACCAACACTTAAAAGTCAACCAAACGAAAGTAAAGTCAAACATAGTCAACCTACAACTTGAAACCATTGTAGGCCCTTTTCAAAACCCAAACGAATATTAAAATCATTATGTTAATCTCACAAGCAAATATATGATAATTAAAGCAAATTAAATACATCATATTCTTATGGAAATTAAACAAGATTCGTTCCACTCATGCCCATCATGAAAATGCTCCATCACCTAAAAAACTTCTCTTTACTTTGTCCCCACTACTCGCCATTAGAAATGGGTCGTCGTAGGGCCAAGATAAAGACAAGGCCAACAAACATACAATACACACAATCAGCAATGCTGAGTATATAAGCGTAAACGATTCACACTAACATACTTATATCCTAGCATCACACAACTTATCTTGTTGCGCCTGTTTACAAGCATACAACACACATTTCATTTAATAGACATTTCCATTGCTTATTTAATTTTGATTATGCATCGAACGAGTTTTCCCCTAACCTGCCCCAATAAAAAGGTACTAACACGAGAGCTAATTGTGCCAGTATAAAAGAACCACTCGTAAGTGGCGGAATTCCTACGCATAATAATATAGTAAAAAGAAAATTTAGCGTCCTGTACTCCCAGTAGAAGTTATGGTCAAATATAAAATCGCATAACTCCCCCCATATGTTTATATTCAAGGTATATACGTTCCAAAGGTTTTGGTGCGTAACCTATTTCACTTTACGTTATTTACATATTTTATATTTGATGATAACTCTCAAATCATAAAACAACCAACGTACATAATTCATTGAAGCAATCAAACATACCAATTTAATTCTTGAATAATTAGTGTCCACATTTAATTTAATGTTGAACCCTTTTTAAACTATCTCGACGTTAAATAACATCTTAAGCGCATAATGCACCACAAATCCTATCCCTCAGTGTTTGGAACACCTTAAATGCACTTAGGCACCAAAATATAAATTAATCCTCGTGTACAAAGACACTTAAATAGCTCATTTCTCATGCTTATAACATCAAGAAAATTTATATGAACTATAATAAAATTCCCTTTTTATATTCCAAACCAAATTAAACATTTAGTTTAATTAAACATGCTCTTGATCATGCCAATAATAAAAGTGTGGTTCATATTCAACATGCCAACATAATTAATTTCAATCAATAATTCACCTCAAATAATTCATGCTTCACAAATCAATCACCAAAATCAATCCAACCAATAATTTCAACCAATACCTATCATGATATTAACTTGGAATTAATTAAACAACTCCTAGCATGCTTCTACACACTTAAATAATTACCGAGTACGCGAACGTACCTCGAATATGATCTCAAAATCGCCACGACTACACAAAATCACTCACTTGGAAGTCTCCTACAACCCAAAATTACAAAAAGACATTATTACCTATTCATAATAAATTTCCAGCAATATATACACTCTTTAAAACACTTTTAAATCTTCTAAACATGGTGAAATTAATTAAAACCATCTACTTTTATTCCCAATTAATGGGTAATTAAAAATCCTTTCAAGAAACTTAATTTAGCCTTTACATAAAAATTCCAGCATTATAAAAACTCTTAAACTTGTTGTAAATAAGTTTAAAAACATTAATTTCAATAGTTTCAATCAACTACAATCAAATTCCATCAGTAAACATCAATTTAGAAATTTAAGGTTAACAATTTGGGGCTTAATTCAAAAACCAAATCTGAAAATTATATGCATATTAATCATTATTAAAACATTACAAAATCATCACACACACCCAAAAACAATAATTAATCAAAGCTAGATTGATTTAAAACAAAAGAAAAAGATTTTTTTTTTTAAACACAACTACACGCTCGCAAAGAGGGAAGGGAGAGTGGTCGGTGCGCCACCTCTCGCGGCTGCTGCTGTCGCTCCGTGTTGGCGGCGGCCGGCTGCTACCACCACAGCCGGCCAGTGGTGGTGGTGGTGGTGTGCGTATGAGATGAGTGAAGGGGAAGGGGGAAAAATTAAGGGGAAAAAAAATGAGAGGAGAGAAAAAGGGAATTTACCTTTGGATATTCTCCACCTTGAGCAAAGTTTAATTTGCTCATAAGATGGGTATTTATACTCTCTTTCAAAACCCTCCTAACTTGATTTTCCTTTTTTTACCCTTAATAATTCCTACTCCCATTCTAATTGACATTTGACTTTCTTTAAAACTCTATTGACTTTAAAACTTCCTTTTATAAGTTAAATATACCCCAAAGTTTCTAAATAATAAAATATTTCCAAAACAAAAAAAAAAAAAAAACAAAAAAAATGAATGTTTAATTAAATAAACCTTTTTGAATTATTAAAATATCATAAATAATTCATTTTAAATAATTTAAATACGCCATAAAATAATTCCTTAATTTAATATACGTATAAAAATATGGATATTACTCCCAGCCACTTGCCGGAACAGCCGGACCCAACCATTCGTCGGAACAGCTAGACCCAGCCACCGTCTTCCCTGATTCCCTTCCCTTCCCTTCCCCGATTCTAATCACCATTATCACCACCGCTAACACCACTCCTCCATAACAACCATAACCACAACCAATCACCACCATGACTTTCTCACCTGACCCAAGCCAGCCCGGCTAGCCCCTCAAAAAACGTTACCCCCCTCCGAAGATTGAAGTTGCTCCTTGCCAAATTACTGCAATTAAAGCTCGGAATTGTTGAAATTAGGAGTGAACTGCTGTAATTGATGGTGGATTGGAGCAATTGGTGATTAGTGATGAAGGTCGAATTAATGTTGCTGGGTTGTGGGGATTTGGGCGGCTGTAGGGTGTGGGGAGTTGGGCGGCTATAGGTGCTGTGGGTGACGTTTTAAGCTGGTGGTTGTTTGGTGTTGCGAGTTGTGTGGCCTGGTTGGTGCTGTAGGCTGGGAGTAAGATGAGTGGGTTGTGGTGCAGGTTTAGGTGGTGGAGGATAAAAAGCTAGGGGGCAGGGAGTGTGATTGGGGCAGCCACACTTTGAGGCCGGGAAGGTGGTTAGTTTGATGGTGATGGATGGTCATGGTGGTTGAGGTGGAAGATGAAGGATTAAAGGAAAAAAAAATTAAAAAAAATTTAACCTGTAAAATAGGTAAAAAGGCTTGTTTTGAGAATATGGAGTGTTAAGGTGGGATTGTTCCCAGAATACGCAAAGGTGGGATTGTTTTGAGAAGATGAGCCAAATGTGGGATTATAAGTTTCAATTTTTCCAAAAAAAAAATGAAAAAAAGGTTTTAATGAAATCATGTGACTGGTCAACACCGTGTTTTTGAGATCAAACTTGAAAATTCGGTGAGTGGTATGTTCTTGCAAACAACTTTATTTAAATGGTAGTTTCTCACCAAAAAAAATATATGTAAGATAGTTTTTTTTACAAAAAAAAAAGTCATTTAAAAGGTACTTTCTAACATAATTTCCTAGAATATAATTATTGATTGATTTGTCTTTCAATTAGCAAAATAATACGAAGTAATTTTGTAGTGAAAACATGTAACTAAGTGTTGGTTTGTGGCCATTAGAGGTAATATGCGATTTTTTTTAAAAACTATTTTAATTTACAACAATTGTTGAATATATCATGACTTATTGACTTATGAGTATTAAAAGTATAGTTGAAGAAAGATCCTAGATGTAATGTATAATGATTGTTTGTGTATTATAACAATTTAGAATTTTTTTTTTTAAAAAATAGTGTACTTATTATATTCATATTAGACCCGGCAATTCTGACCCAAACCCGATGACCCGACCCGAATGATCCGACCCATGACCCAAGATTGACCCGAAAACAGTGACCCGAAATCAACCGGACCCGACTTGACCCATACCCGACCCGAAGTGAAATTGACCCGACTTTGACCCGAAATCCAAAGTTGACCTGACTCGAAGTAACCTGATCCGAAGTGACCCGACCCGAAATTGACCTGATACCCGAAGTGACCCGACCTGAAATTAACTTGAATTAATTGACCCAAATAGACCCAAAACCCGAAGTGACCCGAACTAAAATTATCTTATACCTGAAATGACCCGAACCATTTCAAGCCAAATACTTGACCCGAGCAGACCCAAATAGAAAATAACCGCAATTAGGAATGACAACGTATCGTATTCGGGTCGGATATGGCTAAATCCGAATCCGATCCGTTTAATATTCGGATCGTGGACTCGGGTCTGAATCCAGATCCGAATTCGATTGACCCGATTATTATTTCGTATAAAAAAAATAAATCTACTACTAAAGCTTGACTCAAAGTATCGATTCGAAATGACCTAACCCGATCTTGACTCGACCCGATATATGGACCAGAAAATTGACCTGACCCGAATTGACCCAACCCAAAACGACCCGACCCAAAACCGACCCGAAATGTTGACCCAAAACCCGAATGACCCAACCCGAATATCTATTGACCCGAAATTAACCCGATCCGAAATGACCCGACCCATACCCAACCCGAACGACCCATTTGCCAGGTCTAATCCATATACTGTATAGGTTAGGGTGATATATATAACTATGTGTTTCTTTTTCGGCAATTTCATGAAATGCCACTGAGCACTTAAAAAATTCATGAAATGCCATCGTGTTTTCTAGAATTCACCGAATGCCATTGACAAACAGTAAAATGTCATGCCATGCCATTAATGAGGTATTTCCGTTTGTTGACCGTCAGTGTCTGTTGGTTGACCGTTAGTTGACCCAACACTTGCCATGTGTCACCTTTTGATTGGTTCGTTTTTAAAAAAAAAATTAAACAAAAATTAAAAAAAAAATCTTAAAAAAAAAAAAAAATCAGAAAACCCAGCCCCCACCCCTTCCCTAACTACCTAGCCCCACCGCTCACCGGAAATCCAAACCCAGCCACTACCAATTCCCCCTTACCCCACCAGAAAATCCACCCAAATCCACCTGCCGGCCAGCCACCCCCTCCTCCTGCCCCGTCGCGTCCCCCCTCCTTCCCCTTTAACCACAACCCCCATCCCCGTAAACCCCCTATCTCTCCTCGAAACAACCACTAAAACCCCAAAATCGCAGCCACCAGTTAAAGTCTGGTAGCACAGCGAAGAGGAGAACGGAAGTCCGAAAGCCTCCCAGCCTCCCACCAGAAAACCCCACTCAATACCCCATTCCCCTCCCCTTTTCGATTTCCGGCCACCCCACCCAAAACACCCTTCCCCTCCCCTTTTTGTTTTCGGCCACCCACCCACACAACCCGAAACTCCATTCCCCTCCCCTTTGCAATTTGTGTGTAATTTCTTCTTCTCATTGCAATGTAAGTATTTCCATGTATAATCCTTGCTTCATTGTCGATTTCATACACATTTTTGAAAAATTCAAAAAACCCCTTTGAAAAATCAATTTGGGGCTTTCTCGTATGATGCTTGTTTGATGAAATTGTTTGTCCCACGTTGTTGCATTCATGATTGTGAGCATTTTGATAATAATTTTGTAGAAAATGGTGAAGAAATGAGCATGTTGGGTTCTTGCCTTCGAGCTTGAACGTGGGTTTTAATGGTGGTGGAAAGATGACAGCGAGGGAATGAGAAAGATGGTGGTTTTTTTTTTTTTTTATTATTATTTTTTTAAATTTTTTTGGGTTTTTTTTAAAAAATGTTTTTTTTATAAAAAAAACGAACCAATCAGAAGGTGACACGTGGCAAGTGCTGGGTCAACTAACGGTCAACCAACGGACACTGGCGGTCAACTAACGGAAATACCTCATTAATGATATGACATGACATTTTACTGTTTGTCAATGGCATTTGGTGAATTCTGAAAAACACGATGACATTTCATGAATTTTTTAAGTGCTCAATGACATTTCACGAAATTGCCGGTTTCTTTTTGGTTAAAACAAAAAAACTATGTTTTTCCGCCTAAAAATAATCACCTTGCTCGAGTTTCACTTGTAGTGGAGTTGATTGCAATGGGTTGATTACCTACACATTCAACCACGTAAACTAGCATTAGAGGTGTGTTCAAGGAAGCACTGGAGGTGTGTTCAAGAGTTCAAGGAAATCCTCCATTGCCTAAATTAGTTGATGAACTAGAGCAAAGAGTGACTTGACACTTGTTGTATGTTAGCTCATGATTTCATGTGTATGTACGATAACTGTGAGTTACCCTATAGTTACATATTGGAGGAGATTAGACAACTATTTATATGTGGCTTTGATGGACTCTTATTCATTAGGCTAATTAGACTTAGGGAATGCATTGGCCGGTAGAGCTTTTTGTAAGGGCCCTTATTGAACGAATTGATTTCTCTTCTTTCCGGAATAATCGACACACTGGACGAGTAAATCATTTAACCGTGTTAAAAATATAATGCAATATTAACCCAATAATACAAAAATAAAATCATTTAACCGTGTATAGATTAATTATCATGTGGGAACTTTTTGTTGCATTGAAATAAAACTAATGATCAGTGGGTGAGGAGAGTATATAGTTTAGTTTGAGCATGTAAAAGGGATTTTAGATCTGATTTGAAAAAATATACTTAGCATTATTTATTCCAATAGGTATGGTATGAAGTTAGACCCGTTTTCTCTCAACACTACAACCTAATTTACAAGTATATAAAAACAACTATACCTTTGGTGAAAGGAATCATCAAAAAGGCTGTTATACAATATTACTTGTTCTTCACCAAAAAAAGTTAAACAATATTACTTGTGGAAAGTAAAGCTAAATTCCCTTTTTAAAATCCTTGTCTATATTGTTAATTAGCCACAAATGTACGCATTGTGTGCCTTAATTTTAAAAGTTCACTATATCAACTTGATTGTCAATCAAACAATAAACCTAAACTTTGAAATTTAACATAATAAATCTACATTGATGATTTACGTTAAAAACTTGAAATAAATAAAGCCAGATTAGAGAACAATACATAAGCTACAAAGGAGGATTCTGATTTTTTTTTTTATAAATATTTTATTACCAATGAGATTGTACAAAAGTATACATGTGTTGCTAGCTTGCTAGTTGCTACCATATAAAAACCCTTAGTTATTTAATTGTTGCTTATTTTAATAATTTCCTGATATGTATTATAAATTGCTTTTTAATAAGCTAACCTTCTATCAACTAACCCCCAACATTAGGCAAAACACCATTATTAAATAATGAAATGGGTTTGCTAGTCCTTAATTAGACCTTTCTATCAACTAATTAATTAGTGAGAATGTTAAGGAGTAAAACTCTAGTTCTCGTCAACCGCCTAATAATAGACTCTAACTCAACTTCAAGCTCTTCCATGGCACTTGCTACTTCCTCTAATCTCTTATTTGCCACTACAATATCCATTGAATCACATCTCTCTAACAATCTTTGGCAATTTATTCGCCTTAATTTCGAGGCGAACGATGAACTTTTGCCATGATTAACACTAGGTATAGTAGTTGGCAATATAACAAGAGATAAAAGAGACTCTAAAATAGAAATAGTAGCCCCTTTAACCTCCCTTAAAACATGCACAACAACTATAAGACTATGGTCTAAAAGCGAAAGATCGGACGTAAAACATTTACTCTTCATCGTCCCTTTTGTGATTCTAAGGCATTTAGCCACCTTCTTCTTGAGCTTCTTCCGGTGTAGGGTGTGTGCCACGATGTGGGCGTCGAAGTCAAACTCTTCAATCTTGGCTCGACGAAGAGTGTGTTGGAGGTCTTGGAGGTGTTGTTTGATTAGTAAATGAACTTCCCTTGTTGTACCACACAAATCTAGCATCTTCAATGAGGCCTCCGAGATCTCTCGAACGGACAACATCGTCTCCTGTTGCTGGTGGTGAAGGGCTTGTTGGATGTGTGGTGAGTGTAGTAGATCATTTGCACATTTGTGGAGATCACTTAAATCAGTGAAATTAGGGCGAGGAGATGACATATCTTATTATTGAGGGGTGATAATGACAATTTTTTGACAAATAATTTGTGTATATTCTGATAAGTATTAACCAAACACAACAAGAATCTGTGCTTTTACCTACTACTCAAATTTAAAAAGCCGCTAAAAATACAAAAACTGTCGCTAGTATAGTAAGTGAATGAAATCAAATTAAGGTTGAGGTTATAGAATATGAATCTAAGTAGATGTGATCTTATATAATTGTAATTGTAGAAAAACATCTAAATAAATGTAGGAAGAAGAACGTGAAGTTTCCTTTTATGATGATGTACGGAATGTGTACAAAAAGCTAGGCTGGGAACAGCTAGTTAAATGTAGCATATTTGCCACTAGGAACCTTCCGTAGTAACGTACGTACGTGGTCGATTACATGAAATAGACAACGTACCAGGTTGAATGCCAAATGATTATATTTATTGCATGGAGGTGGTTTATTAGATGTATTATATTGTAACATTGTTTTTATGTTGCATGTTGTAGGCGACAAAGGAAGTATTTCTACTAAACATGTTAAAACTCGATTCAAACCAAATCACTTTGAAAATTGAGTGTTGACTAATTAATACTCATGACTTAAAATGAATACATATAAACCTGGACTATTTGGAAAGAGATTGAATCGAGTCATTGATCAATCGACAATTATCAAAGTATTATGAGGGTTTTTTTTTCATTCATCTATCCTTTTTAATTAGAGACTTTACAATCCGTTTAAAAGACCCATGAAATGTGTAAAGGTTGTAAAACGATAATAAGTCTTTGATAAGACGAATCTTATAACTTAATTATTATAGCAAATTTGTAAGAAAATAAAAGTATTTATTAAAAAATTCACCAATGATTATAAGATATCATTCTCGTTTCAATATTAGTTATTTGTATATGTATCCGAGTTACAAATACTATCTCCGTAAGAGTAATTTCTACATCTTAGATCCATATAAATATAATTGCAACAATTGTAAGTATATGAGACGTTGTACGTGTGAAACTAGGTAGTAGATTTGAAAAATACATATGTACATGTACAATGTATCTCAAAGGAAACAGATAATGCATCATATAATGCATCTGTCATGTTGTGATTCAATAAGATAAGATTTCTGAAAGAAAATCTATGATGATGATCTGATAAAGATCCATAGTATTAGGGGGTGATGCTCCTTGAAATTACTTAATTTGCCTTGCTGAGTAAGTGCCCTTAATTAGCTAAATTTGGGTGTACTACGTTACTACTATATTATTTAATACAAGTATCATATAATACAGTATTACTATATGTTAATATGTTTTTCTACACGTATTGGCCAGAAATTAATAGATCCAGTTTTCCAATTCCGGATTAAAAGTATTTGGGAGGAGATGTTTCATGTTTGTTGCGCACGAGTGGACTGCAGGGTGCTTTAATTTTTATTGCATTCATACTTATTTAAGAACAATAGTTAGGACTTAGAAGAGGCTCAACATTTAGGGCCAAACTAGTGTGTGGCAATATTTGTGCTATAAAATCATAAACTATATAATTACATAAAATAAGTGAACAATAATAACTAATGAAAGTAAATTAAAACTCTCAAATTAATATTTTGTACAAATTAAAGTATTTAATTGAATATGAAATATAATTAAAAGATAGCAAAGTTGATAAGAGCATTAATTCATTTGTTATTGGTCTTGTGTTTAAACCTTGTGATATGTGGCATACTTCTAATACATATGAAGGGTGTCACATGACACATATATTGTATTAGTAACGCTTTTTAATATATAAAAAATAAAAAATAACAATAATAATAATAATAATAATAACAATAGTAATAATAATATAACGTTTAGGGCGATTAGGGCAAGGGACCTCAACGGCTTCCACGTCATATTCCCGGTAGCTTTTCGGCGGCTTTAGGTGCGTTTAGGTCAGCGGCAGGGTTCTTGGTTGGTGTGCAATCAAATCAGGCGAATTTCAGGTCCTCTCAACGCTATTTCAGTGCAGTTTTTGGGTGAAAATCAGGAGGAATCGGGCTTCATTTTTGCATTCTTGTAGACGGTATTCAGGCGGCTTTAAGGCAGCTTCTCCAGCGAAGGTTCAGTCAGGCGTATTGCTGCCGGTTTTTTCCAATTTCCGGCAACATTGAGGCTGGTTTTTCGGACGTTTTTGGGGCTATTTCCGGGCTATTTTGAGGCAAGTTTTCGGGGCTGTTTTCAGGCAGGTTTTCAGGCGAATTCTGGTCATTTTGAGGTGATATTCGGCTGTTTCTGCGCGTGTTTTAGGCTGCGTTTTATTGCGGCAATTTCTGGTGCAGTTTCGAGTGCTTTTGGGTGCAGTTTTTGGTCTGTTTCTGGTGCAATTTCTGGCGTGTTTCTGGTCAGTTTACTTGCGTTTTGGCTCTGGTTTAGGTCTGGTTGTGGATTGGTGTTTCTAGTCAATTTGTGGCCAGTTGTTCTAGTGCGTTTTGGGTGTATTTTTGGTTGATTTTCTGGTTGTTACAGGCAGTGGTTTATTTCAGCCATTTCTCGAGGATTTTGGGTGTATTTTGGTGCAGTTTTGCGTGATTTTTGGTTTCTTGCGGCTGGTTTCTGCTGTAGTTTTTGGGTGTGGCTATGTATAGCTATGTCGGCTGCCCGTTTGAAGTTTCATTGCCCTTTTGTAGGTCTTAGTGGTAGTCAAGATGGACGTGGCAATGACCTTAGTAGAAGTTCTCTAATCAAACATCTTTGTGATCATCATTTTTGTATTGGTGCGTGGGATATCACACGACATTCTCTTACTTCTAATTTGGTTGTTTATACTGAGGCTGAAGTTACTTTTTCGCGTATGGGGATTTGGTTATGTGGGGTTTGCTACAAAACGCATACGCATCGGGCTAAGTGTCGTCATAGTCTAAGTGAGATTGTATCACCCCCGGATGAAGGAGATGGTGTTGTTCGTTTTGTGCTTCATGGTTTCTCCAAGCCGCAAGCTCCCTCTTCTTCGGCTCAGCTTGGGCGCATAGGTGGTTTGGTGCAAGATCAACATTTTGGTTTTGATGTGGCTCTTCTTGATTGTTTTTTCTCCAAGGGGTTTCGTACTATCAAGTCTATACCTCCCAAGTGTTGTTTGGGGTTTTCTCGGGTTCTGAAAGGTGCCCTTGATAAGGTGATTTCTAGGCCTGATGACATTTCTATTTGGGTCTCTTTGTTGGTGTTACCTCTTTGCACCCTTAAAACCTTTCGCCCACGGAGCAGCTCTGAGTCTAGGTCTTCGGTAAAACGTCGGCATCAAGAAGAAAGTATTTCCCGTGCTATTTGCTCTTGGAGTGCACCAGGTGGTAATTTGCAGCTTGTGAGGGATACTTTGGCAAAGGATTCTCCTACTTTTTCAGTGGTTGGTGATGAGGACCTTGATTTGGAGGAGCGTAATATCAAGTAGTGTCGTAGGAAGATTTGTAACGGCCATTTCACTGCTGTAGTCCGGGTTCTTTCTTCTTCAGGCGTTGCTCCTTATAATGACGCCACTCTCGCGGATTTACAGTCTAAACACCTTACTTCTCCGCCTCCATCCTTGCCTGATATACCTGTTGATGGCCTTCATCTCGTTACTACTTCTGCTGTTGTTTTGGATCGGATTAAGAGTTTTCCATGTGGCACATCATGTGGTAGGGACGGTTTACGTGCTCAACACCTTCTGGATTGCTTGACTGGTGCTGCTGTGGCTGTATCAAATGAGTTAGTTGACTCTATTTTCGCGGTGGTTAATCTCTTTCTAGCTGGAAAGTGTCTTATGGAACTAGGAGAGTATATTGCTAGTGCTCCTCTTACCCCACTTGTCAACCCTGGTGGTGGTATTTGTCCTATAGCCGTGGGTACTATTTGGCGGCGTCTAGTTTCGAAGGTGGGTGCTGTTATGGTTGGCCAATCTTTAGGAAGTTACTTTGATGGTCTTCAATTTGGCGTTGGGGTTTCTTCAGGTGGTGAGGCAATTCTTCATGCTGTGAATCGGTTGATTGAGGACCGTGGTTCTGATGTTGGTCTTTCTATGTTGTTGATGGATCTTCAAAATGCCTTCAACCTTGTTGATCGTATGGTCATGTTGCGTGAAGTTCGTCGTCGTTGTCCAGGCATTTCGTGATGGGTTAAATTCTGCTATTCTAATCCAGCCAGATTGTATTATGGGGACCAATCCTTATGGTCGTGTCAAGGAGTGCAGTAGGGTGATCCCCTTGGTCCTCTACTTTTTGCTTTGGTTTTACAGCCCCTGGTTTGTAAAATCAGAGATGCTTTTGACTTATGTCTTCATGCGTGGTATTTGGATGACGACACTGTTATTGGTGACACTTTGGTGGTGGGGAAGGTTCTGCAGTTGATTATGGAGGAAGGGCCTCGTTTTGGGTTACATCTTAATGTGGAAAAAACTGAAATTTTCTGGCCTACAAAAGACCCTCGAAGCAAGCTTGTGGGTGTTTTTCCGCCCAATATTGTTAAGTTGCTTGGTGGTCCTGCTAGTTCTAATTCCGGTTTTGGTGGAGAGCTTGTGATGTAGAGGGTGACCAAGACCATTGCGCTTATGGATAAGGTTGCTCTGCTTGATGATCCTCAGTGTGGGCTATTGTTACTTAGGGCATGTACCGGAGTTTCTAAACTCTACTTTGCATTGCGTACTTGTCCTAGTACTTTTGAGACGGCTCAGCGCACATTCGACGGGGCTCTTCGATCTTCCTTGGAGCGTATTGTTACTGCTTCGGGGCCTGGGTTTGGCGATTGGCAATGGCGACTTGCCACCTTACCATTTGCGTTTGGAGGGCTTGGGGTATATTCTGCAGGTGATGTTCGTAATTATGCTTTTCTTGCTT